TTCTCCAAAATAGACCATATAGTTGGTCATAAAGCAAGCCTCAACAGATACAAAAAGATTGAAATAATCCCTTGTATTCTATCTGACCACCATGGACTTAAGCTGGACCTCAACAACAACAGAAATAACAAACTGCCTACACGCACATGGAAACTGAACAACTTGCTACTCAACGACAGCTGGGTTAAGGAAGAAATAAAGAAAGAAATTAAAGACTTCCTAGAATTCAATGAAAATGAAGGCACAACATACCCAAATTTATGGGACACATTGAAAGCAGTGCTCAGGGGAAAATTTATAGCACTAAGTGCCTGCAAGAAGAAATTTGTAACATCACATACAAACAACTTAATGGCCCAACTGAAAACCCTAGAAAAAAAAGAAGCAGATACACCCAAGAGGAGCAGAAGGCTGGAAATAATCAAACTCAGGGCTAAAATCAATCAATTAGAAACAAATAAAACTATTCAAAGAATCAATGAAACAAAAAGCTGGTTCTTTGAGAAAATCAACAAGATAGACAAACCCTTAGCCAAAGTAACTAAAAAGCAGAGAGAATCTATCCAAATCAAAAAAATCAGAGATGAAAAGGGTGACATAACTACAGACACTGAGGAAATTCAAACAATCATTAGGTCATACTACAAAAGCCTATATGCCACAAAATTTGAAAACCTAAATGAAATGGACAATTTTCTTGATAGATTCCATCTTCCAAGATTAAGTCAAGATCAGGTAGAAAGACTGAACAGCCCTATATCCCCCAAGGAAATTGAAACAGTCATTCACAGTCTCCCCTCCAAAAAAAGCCCTGGGCCAGATGGTTTCAGCGCAGAATTCTACCAGACCTTCAAAGAAGTGCTCACACCAATTCTCCTCAAACTATTCCACAAAATAGAAACAGAAGGTACATTACCAAACTCATTCTATGAAGCAACAGTCACCCTGATACCTAAACCACACAAAGACCCAACAAAAAAAGAGAACTTCAGACCTATCTCTCTTATGAACATTGACGCAAAAATACTCAATAAAATACTTGCAAACCGAATCCAAGAACACATCAAAGATATCATCCACCACGACCAAGTAGGCTACATCCCAGGCATGCAAGGGTTCAATATACGGAAATCCATCAATGTAATCCACCACATAAACAAACTGAAGGACCAAAACCACATGATCATCTCCTTAGATGCTGAAAAAGCATTTGACAAAGTCCAACACCCATTCATGTTTAAAGTCTTGGAGAGATCAGGAATACAAGGCATATATCTAAACATAGTAAAGGCAATATACAGCAAGCCTATAGCCAACATCAAACTCAATGGAGAGAAACTTAAATCAATCCCACTGAAATCAAGGACAAGACAAGGCTGCCCACTCTCTCTCTACCTCTTCAACATAGTACTTGAAGTCCTAGCCAGAGCAATAAGACAACTAAAGGAGATCAAGGGGATACAAATAGGAAAGGAAGAGGTCAAAGTGTCACTATTTGCAGATGATATGATAGTATATATGAGCGACCCCAAAAGTTCAACCAGAGAACTCCTCCAGCTGATAAACACCTTCAGCAAAGTGGCAGGATACAAAATCAACTCAAAAAAATCAGAAGCCCTCCTGTATACCAAAGACAAAAGAGCCGAGAAAGAAATTAGGGAAACAACACCCTTCACAATAGCCACTAATAACATAAAGTACCTTGGGGGTGACACTAACCAAGCAAGTGAAAGACCTGTTTGAGAAAAACTTCAAGTCTCTGAAGAAAGAAATTGGAAGAAGATCTCAGAAGATGGAAAGATCTCCCATGCTCATGGATTGGTAGGATTAACATTGTGAAAATGGCCATCCTGCCAAAAGCAATCTACAGATTCAATGCAATTCCCATCAAAATACCAACTCAATTCTTTACAGACCTTGAAAAAAAGATTCTCAGCTTCATATGGAGAAACAAAAAACCCAGAATCTCCAAAACAATTCTGTACAACAACAGATCATCTGGAGGTATCTCTATCCCCGATCTCAAGTTGTACTACAGAGCAATAGTAATAAAAACTGCATGATATTGGCATAAAAACAGGAAGGAGGATCAATGGAACCACATAGAAGACCCAGAAATAAACCCACACACCTATGAATACTCGATTTTTGACAAAGAAGCCAAAACCATTCAATGGAAAAAAGACAGCATCTTCAACAAATGGTGCTGGTCCAACTGGATGTCCACATGCAGAAAAATGAAAATAGATCTATATTTATCACCCTGCACAAAACTAAAGTCCAAGTGGATCAAAGACCTCAACATAAAACCAGATACTCTAAATCTGTTAGAAGAAAAAGTGGGGAACAGCCTAGAACTCATTGGCACAGGAGACAACTTCCTGAACAGAACACCAACAGCACAGGCTCTAAGAGCAACAATCCATAAATGGGACCTCATGAAACTGAAAAGCTTCTGTAAAGCAAAGGACACTATCATCAAAACAAAATGCCTGCCTACCGATTGGGAAAGAATCTTCACTAACCATTATCTGACAGAGGGCTAATAATCCAGTATATACAAAGAACTAAAGAAGCTGAAAAGCAGCAAACCAAGTAATCCAATTAAAAAATGGGGAACAGAGCTAAACAGAGAATTCTTGACAGAGGAATATCGAATGACAGAGAAACACTTAAAGAAATGCTCATCCTCATTAGCCATCAGGGAAATGCAAATCAAAATGAACCTGAGATATCACCTTACACCCATCAGAATGGCCAAGATGAAAAACTCAAGGGACAACACATGCTGGAGAGGTTGTAGAGAAAGGGGAACCCTCCTCCACTGCTGGTGGGAATGTAAACTGATACAACCACTCTGGAAATCTATCTGGCGCTTTCTAAGACAATTAGGAATAGTGCTTCCTCAAGACCCAGCTATACCACTGCTAGGTATATACCCAAAGTTTGCTCAAGTACACAAAAGGGATATTTGTTCAACCATGTTAATAGCAGCATTATTTGTAATAGCCAGAACCTGGAAACAACCCAGATGTCCATCAACGGAGGAATGGGTACAGAAATTGTGGTATTTTTACACAATGGAATACTACTCAGCAATCAAAAAGGAGGAAATCATGAAATTTGCAGGCAAATGGTGGGATCTAGAAAAGATCATCCTGAGTGAAATATCCCAGAAGGAGAAAGACAAACACGGTATATACTCACTTATATAGACCTATAAGATATGATGAACATAATGAAATCTATACATCTAAAAAAGATAATCAAGAGAGCGGACATGGGGTAAGATTATCAATCCTCGTTTAGAAAGACAGATGGGATGCGCATTGAACATATGACAGGAGTCTACTGAGCGCATTTGAAAGACTCTAACTAGCAGTGTTTTCATGCAAAGATTCATGACCAAACCTTTGGCAGAGTACAGGGAATCATAAGAAAGAAGGGGAGTTAGTCTGATGAGGAAAGGATAGGAGCTCCACAAGGACCAAATATATCTGGGCACAGGGTCTTTTCTGAGACTGACATGCAACCAAGGACCATGTATGAATGTAACCTAGAACCTCTGCTCAGATGTAGCCTGTGGTAGCTCAGTAACCAATTGGTTTCCCATAGTGAGGGGAACAAGGACTATTTCTAACAGGAACTCAATGACTGGCTCTTTGGCCTCCCCACCCCCCAAGGGAGGAGCAGTCCTGTTAGGCCACAGAGGAGAGCTTTGCAGCCAGTCCTGAAGATACCTGATAAAACAGGATCAGATGAATGGGGAGGAGGTCCCCCCATTAGTGGACTTGGCAAGGGGCACGGTGGAGATGAGGGAGGGAGGGAGGGACTGGGAGGGAATGAGGGATCAGGACACGGCTGGGATACAGAGTTAATAAAATGTAACTTATAAGAAAAAAATAAAATTCAAAATAAATAAAGAAAAAAAAAGAACTAAAGCAGGAGGAACTCTGTTTATTGGCTTGCTCAGCCTGCTTTCTTATATAACCCAGAACTACCTCCTCAAGGTAAGCACTGTCCACAGTGGGCTGGGATCTCCCACATCAATCACTAATCAAGGAAAACACCCCACAGAATTGCCTACAGGCTGATCTGATAGAGGAATTTTTTTTCAGCTGAAGATATGGCTTCCCAAGTGACACTGGTCTGCATCAAGTTGACAAGAAATACCTCAAATGTTGTCCATCACAGTATCTGTACTCTCTTTAAAAATGGAGAATCCATTATGGATTTTAAGGTTTTGGTGTAGCAATTGTATTTTTCTTCTTTCAAATTTGGAAGTTCTTATCTGCCTGATAACTCCATCAATTAACACCTTCCAAAGAAGAAAACAGGCAAAAACTACAAAGCTCTACTTACTAAAATTTGCCTTCTTTATGCATACGTGTGTCTATGCATGGCGGGATGCATGCTCATGTGTACGCAGCTGTTTGTATCCATGTGGAGATCGGAAGACACTCTGTGTCTGTGCATGAGGGGGTGCGTGCTCATGTGTATGCAGGGGTTTGTTTATATCCATATGGAAGTCAAGACACTCTCTGATCTTACCCCAGCAGCACCTGGGGCAAGATAGTTTGTCTCATTGGCTTGGAGCTCACCAACTAAACAAGACTGTCTGGCCAGCAAGCCCCAGGAATTGTTTTGTCTTCCCTAGGGCTGGGATTGCTGCAATAGGCTACCATCCCTGATACTTTTTTGTGGGTTCTAGGGAAGAAACCCAAGCCTTCAGATTTTTAAGACCAGAGTTTTACCAACTGAGCTATCTTTCCAGGCCTGAGAACTCCTTTCTGAATATTTATTCAAATGAAACTCTCATAAGTGATGCTTTAAAAGTCAAAGCATAGGCTGAGACTGTAGCACACAGGCAGAGCATAACATGTGTGAGGACCCAGGTTCAATCTGCAGCACTGAAAAAAAAGTCATACCATGACAGTGAAAAAGGTTGAAGAAGGTAACTATTTATTACCAGTTTACTGTGAAAACATCAAAGAACTGACCTTTTTAACCTTGGCCTCTGGGAAGTTGACTGTGATGTAGGATTTGAAAACCCTGTGCTTTTACTAGTTGGGATGGCATTTTTTTTGGCATTAACAACCTGAGTAGAGTGGGCACTGAAAGGCTTGGGACTCTTCCTCTTCACTTTCCGTTCTTCCATTGTTTTAAGTTCTTTGTTGCATCAACACCAGCTTCGTAAGACCTAAACACAGAAATATGGTGATGACAGCTATGTGCTGTAATTCATACAGTGAGAGTCAAAGGCATGTTCCATAGTCCAAAAGAGCAAGATTTTCAAGTCATTTGTGTGTCATCTACTTTGCTAATGCACATAAAATTATCTAATAATTTTTAGCATTTTCTCTATTCACACAGCTTCTAAGTATCTTGCCAGGCAGTGTTGTTGGTCCTGGGATAGCAGCAATGTGTAAGAAAAAGACCTTACCCTTAAGAAGACACCATTATATAAGGGAACCAACATAAACAAATCACCCATGCTACACTCCATCCTTACTGAAGCTTTAGCTGGCCTTTATAGCTCCCTTCCAAAGCTTACTCAAGTAGATGTATCTCAGGGTATCAGCAGTCTAAACTGCAACTTGAAGGCTTATGCAATATACATTTATTTATTTACTTAGAGACACGGTTTGACTGCTCTGCAGACCTGTGCACCACCACAACCACCAAATCCAGATCTTATTTATTATGTCACTATGTAGCTCTGGCTGGCCTGGAACTCAGAGATCCACCTGCCTCTGTCTTCTGTGTGCTTGGATTAACGGTGTCAAAAGTGTATACCACGTCACCTTTTGCTTTTAAGAAAAAGTTTTGCTCTATGTTCTTGGCTGGCTGAGAAATTACTATGTAAGCCATGCTGACCTCCAACTGAGTGCTAGGATTATGGGCTTGTGCCACAAGACTGTCTGTTTAGATCTGAATTTTTCTTAACCCTATTATTAATGTATCACAAACCATCAGAAAATGTATATCTATTCCTTCCTTCAAATTGTTAATTGCATTTTGAATATCAAGTCTTTAAAAAAAAAACACTGTGGGGCTGGAGTGATGGCTCAGCAGTTGAGAGCACTGGCTCCTCTTTCAGAGGACTCAGTTTCGATTTCTAGAACCAACAAAGCTGCTTAAAACAGGAACTTCAGTCCCAAAGTATCCAATGCCCTCTTCTGGCCTTCAGGGGGACAGTTTGCATAGTCATACATGCAGGCAAAACATTCAAACACATCTAATAAAATTTAAATTTTTAAAGTGCTGAATTTAGTCCTGCTACAACCATTTTAAAAAAACTCAAACTGACTACCGTCACTCCCGAAAGAATTACTTGGCAATTAAAAAGTTGATGCTGAGTTTTCGGTTTTTGTTATTATTTTGCTATCTAATGGACAGGGCTTTCTTGGAAAAGGGTACAGTGTTCAGTCTCTAATCTCAGACACCAATCTGAATCCACCGGAGTCATTTGGGAACATTTTAAATATAATACAGACTAAATGGAACTTTAAAGATGACTGAGCAGGTTTCCAAGAAAATAAGGATCTGTATAATTCATGATACACATAAACACACTAACCTTTAAATCTAACGGTGCTAATACACATTCGGTGACAAAAGAGGAAAGAAAACAGTTAACACGTAAAGCATCACAAATAAACCAATGGTCTCCGAGGAGCCAAGCTTGCGATTTTCTCATTTCTAAAGGATAACATCTGTCACAAGGCCGCTGAAATCCTTTTTGTATGACCGTAAGCACCAGGGACCTTTCCGAGGAGGGCGAACTGCTCACGGTTGAATGTTAGGCCTTGCTTTCAACCAGAATCACCGGGGGTGCCTCTGGGCTTCACCCATTTCCCTTCCGCAATCCACCTCAGCGATGACCCATCAGTACCCAGCAGTGACCAGAGCAGGTGCTGAGGAGCCCGAAGGAGCAGGTTGCGGAGTCTCCTACATACCCGAGGAAGATGCTGTGCTCTCCCGTTTCTCAACTGGAAAAGGTCAGAGGGCGTCCAGAGCCTCTGCCACAGAAGCAGCAAGCGCCCAGGTCGCCAGCCCCGGTCTGCAGCCCGACACCCGCGCTTCCACAGAACCCTTTGTTTACGGAAGTGACGTAATCAGGGCGGGCCCTCTATGAGGTAAAACCCCGCCCCTTACAGGTCACTTAACGCTGCTCCGGTCTCCGCTTTGTGCTCCGTGCTCCCTTAGCCGCCTTCAAGTATGGCTCCTGCGGCCGCGGGAAAAAGGACTTGTTGCTGGCCACTCCACTTCTGCCTCTGTGATGGCCTCGTGGGAACTGGCAGTACCGTGTCCTCACCGGAAGCGGCCAGCCACCTCGGAGAATGACAGCCCCTATTCACTGCAACTCCCGGCGTGCCGTTCGAGCACACCTGAAGGCGGAGCCTGTTGTCATCCTAGCAGCGGATCCACATCTCGGATTGGCTGCCTTGAGTGTGGCTTGAAAAGCGGCTTTTGGTTCAGCCAACCGTGCAGAGCGGACCAGTGGGATTCTGTAAAAGCTAGAGTCCAAGCACTTCAGTTCTGTGGGGAAATGAGGTTTGTTTAGGTACTGTTCCTGTATGTCTGGGTGTCTTAGTTTGTTTTTCTTTTTTGACAGGGTCTCGTAGGGCCGAGACTGCTCTGGATTTTGTTGTTGAAGATGGCCTTGAACTGATCCTCCTGTCAGCGCTTCTCGAGAGCTGGGACTACAGTATGTGCAACCGGCCAGGTTTACCTCACTACAATTCTTTAAGGTAGATGTCATAATCCCCGGTCTAGAAATGAATCTGAGACTCAGAAAGGCTGATCAGTCATGCTGTCTGACTCTCCACTTTATTCTTGGAAGAAAGAATTGAGGGTTGAAAGAGAAGCCTCAACTAGAGAAGAAAATCCACTTTTCTTTCTTTGGTGTGGGTGGCCTTCTTGAAGTGGGATTTGGAAATGGGAAATTTTAGCCTCCTACCCTCTTAGATTGAAGCGGCTCTCCCCTAATTACTTAGGGAGGAAATTGTGCCTCGAGATTGTCAGTGCTGGAGAGGCAGGGCAAAGCTGGAGACTAAGTCCTTAGGCTCCTACTATGAGATGTTATTTCATTAGAAAACAAAACAAAACAAAAATACTTTTTTTTAGATACAGACAAAGCATTCATGATGCCACTTTCCAAAGTAAACACGTTATATTTTATAATTTGGTTTTTAAAATTAATTAAATTATTTGTATTTTATGTAAATTGGTGTTTTGACTGCATGTATGTCTGTGCAAACGTGTTGGATCCTCTGGAGCAGGAATTACAGACAGTTTTGAGTGGGTGCTGGGAGCTGAACCTAAATCCTCTGAAAGAGCAGCCAATGCTCTTAACTGCTGAGCCATCTTTCTAGCACCCCCATAATTTGGTATTTTTAGGTTAAAGAACTAGAACATTCAGAAAAGGTGAATTCTTCCTGTTCTCATCCCTCTTGGTTATCTCCCTTCTACAAGGGTCACTAGGAAATAGGTCTTGCTAAGCTAGGCAAGACACTTAAACTGTTATGTATCATAAAGACTATACATAATGGTTTTGGGGATTTTTAAATGCTATTGTGTTTTCTGAATTCATCTACAGCTTGGTTTCACCCAATTTTCTTTTCACATTGATCAATTATCCACATTGATAGGCATGGCTGCACATTTGTTTTAACTATATGATACCATAAATTGTTTGAAATTCCTATATTCTCATTACAGAAGCAATGCTGAGGAATACAATCCTCTTATTCTCAGGGTCTCTGATAGTCATATTTGTATTGGCAGACCTTACCATGTGCTATTCTAACTTTTTTTCCCCAAAAATATTTGCTAACAGTTAAAATTAAAAGAAAAAAAGAATTGAATCATTGGCAATCTGTGAATAAATGGGAAAATTAAATCTTTATTGTACCCTGGCAGCAGTAGTTCAAGATGATCTAATCCAGAAGTACTTAGTTTTTCTTTGCCTTTAGGACACCACCTGAGCTCTGTGGTGTTTGAGTTTACAACCTATGATATAATTTAGGAACACAGAAAAAATGCTCTTCTGAATGTATACAAGAAAAACCAGCATGGTGACTGAGGCCCATCATCCTAGCACAGAGAAGGTAGAAGCAGGAGGAGCCTCGGCAACATGAAACTCTTGTCTCCAAATAAATAATAAATGCCTTGCATTGCAAGCATTCGAGTTTTGAATACCTATTCTGAGTTCCTCTGATGACTTAACAACTTATCACAAGGTCTATTGTCTCAGACGTTCTATCACTTCCCAATACATCCCTGAAAAGAGGAAAAAGCCTCCTTTAGCTGGGGGCTAGAGAACATTAAAGTTCCAACCATACGTTTTCTTATCTAGTATTGTACTGAAATATCTCACATATCACTTAATCCAGAGTGCAAAAATATCCAACCAGAGTTCAATTTCCATTAACCTCCTGGTTATTGTGACTTTCCTTAATTTTTATGTCTTTGTTTTTTGAGATGAGACCTCACCATAAACACTCAATAGCTTAGAACTTGCTATGTTGACCAGACTGGTCTTTAACTTATGCTAACCTCCTGCCTCTGCCTTTCAGAGTGCTGAGATACAGGCACAAGATACCAAGCCTGGCTTGCTTCTTCCTTCCTTCCTTCCTTCCTTCCTTCCTTCCTTCCTTCCTTCCTTCCTTCCTTCCTTCTTTTTCCCTTTCTTTTTCAACAGTCTTTCTGTGAAATGTTCATGTGATAACTGCATCTGGAAGTTTCTGTTATATCCATTTTTCAGGTACAAATGCTCAATGTCCTTCCACTTGGGAAGTTTATGCTCTTAGACCACCAGAGTGGTGATTTCTTCATTGTTGCCTTGATTGTGTTTAGAGTTGGAAACACTTGGCCTCTAGGCTTGTCTATGGGGGCATTTTGAGAGAAGTTGACTGAGGGAAGACTTAACTCTGAATGAAGACTTTCTCTGGACTCCAGTTCTGAACTGAATAAAAAGGAGAAAGCTAAGTGTGAGCACCCACCTCTCTACTTTTGATAGTAGATTCAACACAACTAGCTGCATGGTACTTCTGCAGCCATACTTGCTGCAGCAGGAAAGACTGCATCATCAAACTGTGAGACAAAGTAACCCTTCCTTTATCGCCTCAGTCAGATATTTTTATTACAGTGAAAAGAAGGAGCACTTTAGTGTATGAAAATGTGGTCTTACCCTTGTCCTTATAGGAAAAAAAAGGAGTTTTTACTTTGATTGTTGCTTTTGTTTGTTTTTACTTGGGAGGCCTGTCCATCATTTGCCAAGTGTCCTTTCTTCTTTTCCTTCCCTACCAGAATACCTAGGCCGGATGGGTCACTGCTTAATCCTTTTGCATGCCTGGCTGAGGAGATGACTAGTTTTCTCTGTCTGCCTTCTTTCCCAACCATAAAGCAGAAGTGTGGTTAGCATGTCCATACAACTGAGGGACTAGTATATTGTTTACCTGTTGTTACTTATTGCTGGTGGCCGGCCTTCCTGATCAGGTGGGAAGGTATACCAGTTCTGAGGTGGGACAGTGTCCCGAGGGTATCCTGAGGCACTGAATCCCAGGAACCACACAGCTCTGAGAGGAGGTGTCCTCAAGCAGACACATTGCAGCTCCCAGGGAAGGGTTGCCCCAACCCCCGATGATCCTCAGAGCTCAGAGTCTGAGCTCTGATCCTTCTCCACCTGATGCAGCTCTCAGGGGAGGGTTGCCCCAACCTCTGATGAGTTCAGGAGCCTTGGAGTCTGAGCTCTGCTTCTTCTCCAACTGATGGAGCTCCAAGAGGAGGATTGCCCCAACCCCTGATCTCCTCTTCTTCTTTTCTTTTTTCTTCTCTTTTTTTCCCACAGCAGTCAGTAAATCTCTTAAAAGGGATTTATTGGAGTGATGAATCCAGGAGTAGCTGCTTCTGTTCACAGGAAAAGGCTGCAGGGAACTGGGCAGACTCAGCCTTTTTATGGGAATTTTTAGGGAGCTGAGCTTTTGGGGGAAAGGATTTTCAGAGTGTAGATTGGTGGGATTTCAAGTCCTGAGCTTGGGGAGCTCAGGGATTGGTGGGCTTTCCTGTTTAAGGATTGGTGAGTTTTAGTGGTAACCTCAGGGAATGGTCAGTTTTCCTGCTCAAGGGATTGGTGGGTTTTTGTCCAGACTTTTTACCTCAACGTAGCATAATCGAGATGAGTCCTACTGAGGACTGGATATGACACTTACAGATGTCTTGGGGGAGGAACAGGGCTGCTAGAGCTTCCTCAGGCAGGGGTCTGGCCACTTTTCTGCCTTATGGGGTTATAAAGTAAACAAAGAATCCAAAATTTACAAGGAGTCCATTGTGAAGGCAGTAGGCTGAAGCAGGAAAGATTGTCATCATCATAGACAGCTCCCATAGCAGCAGTAGTAGGCTTCTGAGGCAGTAAAGGTGTTCGTTCCATTGTAGTTGGCTGAGGCAGGAATAGATACCATGGATAGCTCCCACTGAGGTGCTGACAGGAGCCCCCATTCTGTCTCCCATCTCCACAACCCCAAGATGGTAAGGAGGGGCTGACTGCCCTGAGGCCAGAAGGGGGACTGGCAGTGAGTCACTTGAAATTTTAGTGGCCCGCTGCTCAATTCAGCTAGAAATAGCTGGGGGGGGGGGGGGGGGTGCAGTGGGCCACCACAGCAGGGGGCCAGTGGGCTGCAGGGCTGGGAGCCCAGTGGACCTGGACAGCTTGGGAGAATCAGGGCCTCTGCCACAGCTCAGGTGTGGATCACTGTGGATGTCCCAGGCTGTAGCTTGAGGTGCTATCTCCACCACAGCAGTGGCCGATTTGATGTGGTGGAGGCTGCGCAGGTGGCAGGGCGCCACAGCTTGGCTTTCACCTCTGCAAGGCACCATGGCTCAGCCGTGGCCCTCTCTGAGGCTGAGGCAGCGGGGGCTGCAGCTCTCTCCACTGTTTCCAGCTGGGTGACTTTGATCACTGCTGCAGGCTGCTGACTGCCAACGGTGTTGAGAGCCCTACAGTGCAGAGGTCTGGAGAGGTGGAATGAGATGGAAGTTCCCAAGATGGGCAGATGATCAGGTCAGGCAGGGTTTATAAACCAAGGTAAGACAGTTTCAGCAAAATCATTTGAGAGTTTTAAGTCAAGACAAGGTCTGAGTCTACTTTTGTAAAATTATGCCATGAAAGAATGAAAAGAAGGAAAGCAGTTTGGGAGCAGGCTACAGTGTGGTGTTATATTGACTTGCTACAGAGCCGAGAGCTGCATGGATAAGATTTCAAAAGCTATGTGATTGTTTGGCTACCTTTGCAAAACTTAGGGAGTTTTCTGCTTTGAGGTGAGCTCACATGGTACTGAGAGACTGAAA